ATGATAATGACAATATTGCTTAGTATCCCTACTCCTGGGATGTGATGACATCTTAGGTGCAGGATCTTTGAGATATCCTTCCCTTTAGACCATAGCCAAGGCATTAGTAAGCAAGGTGTCCAAGATGGTTATAGATTCCTTTGGCGTTGGATTTCTCTGTTGATTCCTCCTGTCTGAGTGATTAGGATGGGAGTTGGCCCTTGGAGGATTCTTGTGCCATCCTAGTCCTGGAGGACTTTCGGTCAGTTCAGGTGATAGAACTACTGCTGGTGCTGTTAGAGGGTTTGAGGGAACGGCCATGGTTACTAGCGTTGCTGAAGTCGTGACAACGGGAACCCTTATGTCCCTTGCTGAGGCCTTGTAAGCTCGGACGTCATCCATATCCATGTATCTGTGACGCCCCTGGGTTCACACAAGGCTGCAGTCCGAGGTGAAACCAGAAATGTCAAACCTGCCATGCACCACACCGTGCAATAACATGTTTCACCATCACAATTTCTATCTCTCTAGTGGAATCAACAACAGGTGTAGTACAAAGCCAGTAAAAGGTTATACAAGAATCAACTGATGAAATAATAGAGATCAAATTAATATTTCACCATCTAATATGTTGGAGTACAAATAAATGTCTGAAATAAATAAACTGGAGTTCTCATCAAGTCTCAAAATACAAAATGTCTGAAAACTGGAGTTCTCATCAAGTCTCAAAATACAAAATGTCTGACAAGAGAAAATAAGGCACACAACCTTTTTAACTTCTAGAATAAAACTCTCAAGTGTCTAAACAGAAGTCTACAGTGGAGCTCAAGGAAAAATATAACTAAAATAGATGGCTGAAGCTAAAGTGCATCGCCGTCAACCTGCGACTCTCCGGGCTCCTGGCTCGTTACCTGAAAGGGGGAGGGACAACAAGCGTCAAAGCGCTAGCGAGCAACATCACAACCAACCCCAAGGGATAGGGCTTGTTGTATATGAAAACACAGATAATACATAATAATACAAATCATCTACACAAACATCTATGGGTTTTAGTACTTAGGGAAATACAACACGAGCATAGGTACGTCGAGCGAAATAATCCAAACAAGGAAACCCTCATGTATATACCTTGTATCTCAAATTGTAGATCCCTAAATATTAAACCCGAGGTTGGTCATAAGAAATAAATAAAGAAAAGAATACATACCCATCTCTGCCAATAAAGTGCAAACATGTCAAAACTACAATAGGTGTCGTGCACAACCTAGGTAGCTATCATGTCCCAGCCTAATACAATCTATCATGTACCCAACTTGATTACGTAACATGTTCAAGGTTTAGCAAAAGTCTAAAACATGTTTGAAATGGATTATAGTCCAACACGAGGACTCTAATGGATTATAGTTCAACACGAGGACTTTAATGGGTTATAGTCCAACACGAGGACTGTGTATAAGAAAGTGTACATGTCTTATTCCCATACACACCCTACTGTACTGACTTAAACTTGTGTTCGAAAGGTTATCTCACATGTATGGTGAAATCATATTCACTGCAAATAAATACTCAATAAACAAGGCACTCCTCAAGTCCAAACATGGTAGATAGTACCCTTGAAATATGTAAACACTGTATACATACATATATATATAAACAGCAGATGATTTAAACAGAAGCACGAGCGAAACAGAAAGAAAAAATACTGCGATGAGTCGACTCGTGTTCAATATGAGTCGACTCAGCAGAACACAAATAATAGTAGGAAAGGACTTCATGAGTCGACTCATGACAGTCATGGGTCGACTCATGACTTATGGGTCGACTCTTACTCTGACGAGTCAACTCAGCAGAAACGAAAAGACAACACAACTAGACTTCGTGAGTCGACTCATGACAGTTATGGGTTGACTCAACCTGTTGAGTCGACTCATGATAAGCCGTGGGTCGACTCACGGGCTGAACACAGCTTTTCTCCCAACTGTAACTTGTTCAAACGATCCACACTTCCATCTTAATGATCTACACTTCTATAGCCATCAATTCTTGACTATGATACAGTGAGAAAAACATATTTATCATGAGAAACGATTTTCTTGTAGGTTAAATCTAACATTTAGCTCCTATACATGAAAGAAAGCATTTAATCAAAATAAAACTCATATTTTTATTCTTTAAACAAAATTCCAGATCTGGGTTTTCATGAAAAACTTGTTGGTGGGGATTTAAAATCCGAAATACATGATTTCTAGCATTAACCCTAACAAGGATCTTGATTCATACTTGAAAATAAGTCTTAAGCTCAATAAAACTTATGGAAAACAGTTATAAACTATTAAAAACATGGGAAAAGGGTTGGGCGAGATGTTACTCGCCTCAAAAGTGATGATGAACAATCCCCTTCGCTGTAATCCACGAAAAGCCACTGAAAATCCCCAAAAATTGCCCAAGAAATCCCAAAAACGAGCTAGGGTTTTGAGGGGGAGAAGAGGCTAGGGTTTCTCTAGGGTTTTTTTGATGAACAAGAGTGTTTTCGGGTGGGGAGGAACATATATGAGTGGATAAAACCCGACCCGAAACCCAAACAAACCCGACTCAGAAAACCAGAAAAATCCCGATGAGTCGACTCATGGCAGTCATGGGTCGACTCATGACTCATGGGTCGACTCATGATATAATGAGTCGACTCAACAGAGACTAAACATCAACAGGACTCGATTTAGTGAGTCGACTCATGACAGTCATGGGTCGACTCATGGACTAGAAACTGCATACAACAGGACTCGATTTAGTGAGTCGACTCATGACAGTCATGGGTCGACTCATGGACTAGAAACTGCATACTCTGACTTTGCTGCATATAATTGAAATCTAGCACACTCAACCTCATTACTGATGTGCATATACATACTCAAAAATCTACGGGGTCTTACAGTATCCATGGGCTTTGGCTATTAATTGTTCATAATTGGTGACTGGTTTCTTAGCGAGAGAGTCAGCCAATTCATTACTCTGCAGGCCGGCGACGAGTGTCGCCATGGCGACTGCGCTTCCCAGGTTGTTGACTTCCAACCTCTTAGCTTGGAATCTCTTGAAGTAGGACCGGAGGCTCTCTTCTGGTCCTTGCCTCATTTAGATCAGCGCATGAGGGGGGGGGGGGGGTGGTTGGGGGGGGGGGGTTTGCTTGGTATCAGCTAGGAAGTGGTGGATGAACTTTCGACTCAACTGTCGAAAATTATTATTGGACCTTCTACTCAAAGCGTTCCACCAAAGTTTAGCTCTTTTAGTGAGGGTGATGGAGAAGCACCGACAGAGGATTGCTTCAGAAACTTGGAGCATACTCATTATGTCAAAATAATTTTGAACGTGCTCAGAAGGATCTCCTTCTCCTGAGTATGTCCCTAAGTGGGGCATTTTGAACTTCTCAAATGAGCATTTCATTATCTCGTCTGAGAGTGGGGTATTCCCTCCGATTGTATCAGCAATTGGCCTGTATACTCGATCGTAGGCGGAATCTCCTGAAGTAGTAGATAAGGATGAGAGGGCGCGATGATGGAGCTTCTTGGAACCTACTTGGCACGTCCTTCTGAATGACTGGGACCACAACTTTTACCATGGGTTTTTGAATGAGGACAGCGGTGCCACTCCTGTTGAGATACAACGTCCGATTGCCTGGGGCGGCTCTCCGCCTGTCTAGGGGGGTTATGAAGAGTTCGTGGTGGGACATTCCGTTGCTGGGAAGGAGGTGCTTCTGATCGTTAGTCTCCAGAGGGAGGAGGTGGTACAGTGGCTTGTGGTGGTGCTGGGATTCACCATAGAACATCGTTGGTCAAGACAGCAAACTGCTCTTCAAGTGATAGGGTGAGCTGGTTCACCGCTTGTTCCAATTGATCTTGGGTAACATAATTAGACGACTGTCTTCGAGGTTGAGACTGCTTAGATCCTATATTGGAGCCTGATATTTTTTCTCAAAATAGGAAAAGAGGCCCCACGGTGGGCGTCAAACTATTGATGTTAAATATCACACAGCTAAATAAAATCACGGAGTTTGCAAGGGGTTGCTTTCTTCTTTGACTTTACGCCTGGTTCTGTAGTTAAGATGATTGAGCAATCTGCACACAAAGAGTCATAAGAGGGAGGTGATAAATTCCCCCGTGGTACCTCTGATGATCAAGTTAGTTGATGAACTTGGGCTTGAGTGGAGTAACAGAACTGAGTGTTCTTCCTTTTGTGTAGTGTGTGCTCTTAAGAGTTTTAGATTGCGAACCTTTTGCTATCGTGAATAACCTCTCTATTTATGGGAGATGCCGAGGGCAGGTTGGTCACTCCATGGGTATACAGTAAGACGGTAGTGAGGCGGTGATGAGGAGTGAGTTGGAAAATAAGTCATTATTCGCTCTACACGTGTTGGTTTGTGAGTGGCGGGAGATCACTTTGGCAACATTGGGAGCCAGCAACCGACATGTCTTCAAGACAGTTGAGGAGTGACACTTAATGATGATCATCAAAGATTAAACAATGTTGAGAAGTGATACCTATGCTGATAGATATGAGATAAGGGCAATCCTTTAGCTTCGTCGAGAAGCAAGGCTCATAGGGTCATATCTTCGAGTTGCTGACTTTCGTGTCGACCAACACCGCCTTTCGCATCGACTCAGGAGTGTCGCATTGTTCGACTGGTGTGAATGTTGTCTCGTCTCAGCTAATAACCATCTTTTGAGTCGACATAAAGAAGTAGACTCATCTGGGAGATCAGGATCTCTCGTGTCGACTGTCACCGCTTCTCGCGCTGACACTGGGGTGTCGGCTTGTTGGGCTAGTCGAGATGCTGACTCATCAAGTTATATATTCGTGGAACAGATATGTCCCATAATAATATTATTACAAAAATCACTTTATAATTTTCCACTTAATAAGAAGAATTGATGATAAAAAATAGTATATCCACGTGCAAAGCACGTACACTATACCAGTAGATATAGATAAGGCAACTCCCTCCTTTTTTCCATCAAACAGGAACAACTATGGCCAGTCCCTCCCTCTTCCTCCAAACCTCCTCCTTCCTCACTCGCTTCACCCAAAACCCATCTCCACCTTCTCGCCAAAATCTCTTTGCTTCCCGCCATAACATCCGCTGCTGCTCGATCTCTGCCACCTCCTCCAGCAGCGCACCATCAAAGGCGTTCGAGATCCCGTGGGGCTGCGAGATCGAGTCCCTCGAGAGCGCGTCCGAGCTCCAGCAATGGCTATCGGATTCAGGTCTGCCTCCGCAAAAGATGGGGATCGAAAGAGTGGATGTTGGAGAGCGAGGGCTGGTTGCTCTGAAGAACATTAGGAAAGGGGAGAAATTGCTCTTCGTGCCTCCGTCCCTTGTTATTACTGCTGATTCGGTATGATTTTTGTTTACTTATGATCGATTAAGTGTATTTAGTTTGGTTACTTTTTAATTTTCTGGTGCTTTTTGTTGATTTTTATGAAAAAGTGCATCTTTTTAGCTTTTAAAAATAGTTAATTATGGAACTGATTTAGCATATCTAAGGGTTCAAGAATGCTTGAAACCTGACAATCACTTATAATGCGAAAAGATGTACAGTAGGATATAACGGAGAGCTAAAATGAGAAATGCCAAAGCTGGGCATCGAATGATATGTCGATACATGGTGAATACTAAAGCACAAATGAAGTATTTGTATCTTCAAAGATCCTGGAGTTTTGTACAACCTATAATGGGAGAATTTTTTTGAAATAGGACGATTTTGATAAATATTTAGCAAAACCGACCATTTTGCTAAATATTTAATAAACCTGACTTCTTTTTGGCCAGCTCACCAAGGCTGGCCAAAAAGAGGTCAGTTTTGCTAAACATGGGTTTCGAAACACACATGACTAGTAGTCTCGTGTGTTTAGTGGCTGCTAATCAGCCCCTAAACAAGAATAAAAAATAGTAGTAGCAAAAAACCCATGAGACTACTAGTCCTATGTGTTTTTGGTGCAGTTAACAGAAAATCCATAGGACTACTAGTTTCGTGGTTTTGTAGAAACACCAAAACCTGCACAAAACATGCACAGATTCATCCCGACATATATTTTGCATGTATACAATATTTCATATGCACAGAAAATATAAATCCACCTCATATACATTGCTAAACAATATAATCATTATATAAGTTATAAATTTTAAGAAATATACATAAACTAAAACACATTTAATCAATTCACAACATCAAAACACAATATATAAATCCACCTCATATACATATCCATATGCCAAAATACTCCCAACAAATCTAAATGTATCAAGTATATTTATTTACAACTACAGTCTAAGTAGAAAATCCAATAAACTATCACATACAACCTAAAAGTCCTCCCCTCCCCCGTTGTTTCCCTCATTGTACTCGCTCATATTGTCTGCGTTCTCCTTTGACTTGAGCTTGTATGTGCTCGCACTCTGTTTGTGTGCGTGGCTGTGATGGACCAGCTTCATTGTTGTGCAAGCCAGATCCACCTCATTTTCATTGGCGTGCATATAAGACATCCTCTCATGCGCCATCCTCTCGCAACCATCATGCCGATCCTCATGAGTTCAATGAAGAGCTTTATGAACCCTCCACACTATCCGCTATAATACCGGTACATGTACAAATTCTCCTATTGCGGTAGCTATGCCCTCATTTGCAATGTCCTCTATATCATCCATAACGTCTATCTGCAATTACGTAAAAACGTATATATAAACAACCAAAAGCTAACAAGGGATTAACAAACTAAAAATGGATGGAAAATTATTTGAAATTACGTAACTTACTTATCCATTCTCTATCATCTACACCCCTTGGTACATATATTGCTTGTTGGGAACATATCTCAAGTTCGTCAACTGGATGCGTGTTTGAGTGATTATCCATCTTTTGGTAATCCTCCAATACGATCTTATATAATATGTTTTCTCCATCGGAGGATAAAGCTGCTCGACGATACTGAAATGTCGATCATTCCATCAAGCAATCTACTGATGATGATCATTTGCCCAGTCTATTTGGTGCCCACCCTTGGACGTCTTTCTCTCTATTTTTCTACTTATCAAGCATGTTGTGCCAAACCAAACTGCCTAAGCACGCGATCCGACACATGCTTCTCCATAATTTCAAAGCAAATGAGGGGAACTCTTGCTCTCCACATACCGTACCCCTCCATGCAAATCAGTGGTAGGCGAGGTAGGTGAGTTTTGTATGGCTTCCACTCGAACTACAAAATATTCCACATATTAATGACTCTTTGAAATAGTTTGGTAACTTAAAATTTCTTAAATTAAAAATTGATGCCTCATAAATTTTCATCCAGTCGAGCTCATCTCTGTAAAAATCTAACTATCTCGCCGAGGTCTCATTGTAGCATTTTTGGACGTTCCGTCCGCATGAATGATAAAAGGTTAGCATTTAATACTATAATTAAAATTCAAAATCAAGTTTGCTTTAATTAGTTTCAAAATTATTTACCTGTAGTTCAATGGAATCTGTCCATCTAAAACTCGTGTCTCGCATAATCTTGGTTTCAAAACTAATCTCTTCATGCCAAAAATTGTAATAATGTCAAACACCCTTTGAGCTATTTATTTTGCATAAAAGCAACTTTCGATATTTTCGTATACATGTATGCTAAAATAGCACTACCCGTGGTAATGTCCCACATGTGTCGAAGTTCCGAAGAAGTGGTAACCACCCATTATATTAAAAATGCGGGTAAATGGCACTTATATACCCTATTTTTCGCTTTTGTAGCAGTTATATACCCTGAGTTACAAAACATAGCAAAAAAAAAGCCTTGAGTCGGTAAAATTTTATAAGTTGGTACCTTCTGTTAACCAACCGTGAGAATATTCTCTGGAATATTCCCACGTGCTGGACATATAACCAACTTGAATGCTTCTTACCTTCATTTACTACAGTATTTACTATATTACCTACCTCTCTCCCCAAATTAACTTGTTTTCATCATCTTCTTCTTTTCATAGCCTCCAACTTCTTCTTCCAACCCTCCTCGTCTAGAGCTTCAAGTGGGTCATCAAGCTATCAAGCCTTGTTGTTGGTGAAGAGAAGGAGAACCATGTATGTAATAACAAACCCAACTAAAAAATTAATTTTTAACATCATAATTAAATCTTCAAACCATATGATGTCAACAAAAAAGATGAAATTTAAATATCATACCCAATGCTTCAAGTTTTACCCTGAACTCAAAATTTAACTAGTCAACTCCCCATGCTTAATCGTAAAAGCACAAAATTTTAACCAGTCAATTCCCCATGCTTAATCACAAAAGCTTCATAAATAGATTTTTCAACATATGAACACACTTAGCTATGTGTACAGACGATTGGAGATGAAATATTACTAGAATAGCACAATTTGATTGCAATGTAAAATTCAATAAGCCAAAATTACTCCAAAATTAGAAAATTAGATGTTTTTAATGTAGGAATCATGAAGTTTAGCTTAATTAACCCTAGAAACTTTTATTTTAGGTTAATCGTCAAAAAAGAAAAAAGAAAAAACCCACACAATCTAATGCTGAACTAGGGTTAAGAGACTGACATCGACGATGAGCTAAGATTGAGAGGAGCTGGCTACTGTAAGTGGATCCTCATGACGAATCGTTCCGGTGTCGGTTCTTCTCTTTTGTCAATGAATTTGAGAAAGCACGGGCTCCTGATTGCTGCAATGTCAAGTTCATGTTAAGAGAATTTGGGGGAGATTTTGGAGAGGATATGGTAATAGTAGAAAATAAGAGTTTTCACTATGTGGGGATGGGGGGGTTAATTCCTAAGGAGGGGTATTATTGTCCTTTCATGTTTAACACCGTTAGTTAAATTTAAACAGTTACCAACTCAGGGTATTTTTACTATGTTTTGTAACTTAGGGTATATAAGTGCTACAAGAGTGAAATAATAGGGTATATAAATGCCATTTAGCCTAAAAATGCATTTAGTTTTATTCAATTAATTATTATGAAATCAAATAGCGAAATAAATGTTGGGAATAATTATATTACATCAAATGTACCTTGTCTTTACTTGAATCAGGGAATAGAAGCGTCCTAATCATTTGCAAAATATATGCACGCGTATGTTGATGGATTATGACTTGGGATGCATCTTCCGGCTACGGGTGTGAGAAATTTTCTTTGAGCCACTTCAATCTAACATTCCCGCTAGGCAACGACTGCGAAGATACTCCCAACAACTCCTTACAAACTCGGTGTCATACATGTCTATTTATCCCTGTAACACAAGGACCATCAATGCGGAGACGAATGATTACTACTACATCTTGGAGAGCAATAGTTGACTCGCCGACACATAGATGAAAAATGTTAGTCTCTGGCCTCCATCTACCCATCAATGCATTAAGTAGTGCTCAAGGTTTTAAATATCGGTTATCGGGAATTTATCGGACGACCAAAATTCTTATCGGATAGCGGAAATCGGGGATATATCGGGGATAAGTAGTATTTATCGGAGTGATATACTAGATGGTGTATATATATAATATAATAACTAAAAAATATAATCTAACCATGCTTAATGAAATATAAACATTCCAAAATGTAAATCATCATGTTTAGAATCACTAACCAATTGTAGAAAACAAAACTTGCATCTTGACCGCACGATGAAACCATTCGATTGCATAGCCTTACTTATCGGCCGATAATCCCGATAAAAAAACCTTACTTATCGGCCGATAAGTACCGATAACGCCGATAACTCCCCGATAACTTGCCAAAAACGATAACCGATTAAAAATCCAAGTTATCCTATCGGAGAGCTCCCAAATCCGATAACTCGGCCGATAATATCGGTTATCGGCCGATATTTAAAACAGTGGTAGTGCTTAATCGAGTTTCATCCACTGTAGCCTTGAGCATGTGAGAAAACCAGCTTGGGCTACCAAGGCAATCATATGCTTATCCTTAAGTGGCCAACGCATATGTCCGAAGCTATGATCAACCATAACTAGCTTTGGTCCTTTCTGCATAACAATGAAAAATAATATTAGAGTATAACAATGAAAAATAATATTAGAGTATAAAAGGAAAAAGTTATGACATATAAAACTTAGTCATGCATGTATGCCTCAAGATTCACCAGCTTGAGCTACCAAGGCAATCATATGCTTATCCTTAAGTAGCCAACGCGTATGTCCGAGGCTATGATCAACCATAACTAGCTTTGGTCCTTTTTGCATAACAATGAAAAATAATATTAGAGTATAACAATGAAAAATAATATTAGAGTATAAAAGGAAAAAGTTATGACATATAAAACTTATTCATGCATGTATGCCTCAAGATTCATACTTGTTCTTGATGCACAACGAAACTTATT